TGTGTTTGTGTACGAGGCGATGAAAAGAGGCAGTGAATGGTGAGACAAAGTGTTGAGTTTGGTCTATGAGAGTGGGTGGAGTGGGCGGGTGGAGTGAGTGGGGTGGGTATAGGATTGGGTGGAGGTGTGTAGAAGTGGGTGGAGTGAGTGGGGTGGGTATGAGAGTGGGTGGAGTGAGCGGGGTGGGTATGAGAGTGGGTGGAGTGAGTGGGGTGGGTATGAGAGTGGGTGGAGTAAGTGGGGTGGGTATGAGAGTGGGTGGAGTGGGTGGGTGAGCGGGGTGGGTAGGTTGGTGGGTGTTTGGAAGGAGAAAAAAAATACTCCTGTAAAATTAAAACACAGGAATTTCGCTTTAATCAGTATGTGAGGTTTAGAATTTTCAACAAAGTTTTAGTCCCAACAAAACTAATTATAATAAAGTGTAAAAGAGTTAACAGTTTATTAGAGTGAAAACAATACACCGAAACTAAACATTACTTTATATAACAGATGTTTAGGCTGGGGGAAGTATGTTTAATTTAATGCCAGAGAAAGAAAAAATGTTGGTGTAAAAATAGAGAATTGAACTTTAACCTGTAGGTGCTGGTCAATAGAACGTTCTCAAAGTTAATGTTTTAAAGTGATCAAGTGAAATGGGGATAATTCTTTAGTACTTGTATATAAAAGTGACATAGTAAAGTAAATCCCCAACAGAGAGAATAAACCACTAGATGAATATTAATAATTTACTTAATGTACTTTTACACTTTATTCACTATACGAGATAAAAATAAAAACATAAATTGAGTTGATTTTTAAAAGCATTACTTAACACCCACTTTACCCATAATAAAGTAATTAACCACTTACTTATAAGATCACAGACACCCGGCACACACTCCACCACACACACTCTACCACACACACTCCAAAAAAGTAGTTGTACTGAGGAACGTGACCTGAGAGTGAATTAGAAATTAATTTGACCCGAGTTGGGCGCTGACCTCTGACCTGCTATTCAACTGCTCGGCACGACACTGGCTTGTTAGGTATCTAGCCTGGCACAGCTCAGGTATGTTACAGTGAGCTGAACTGGAAACTCGACACGCAAGTCACTGTTGGCTAAGTTATTTTTTCTTCCTTCTTCTTCTCCTCTCTATCTCCTTCTTCCCTCATTTATTATCCTCGTTCTCTCTCATTCCTCTTTCTCCCTACCTCCATCTCCCTTCATTCCTCCTCTTCCTTCTCACTGTCTCCATCTTCCCTCATTCCTCCTTCTCCTCTCCCTACCTCCACCCTCCTTCACGCCTCCTCCCCTTCCTTCTCCCTAGCTCCATCCTCCTCATTCCTCCTTCTCCTCTCCCTACCTCCTCCCTCCTGCTTCTCCTATTACTACCAACTCTCTCCCTCCCTCTTCATTCTTCTGCTCTTCCTACCATCCCCCCCCCCAATGTCTCCCTCTCCTCTTCCTCTTTTTCCCGTTCCTTCCCTCCTGATTCCATTTATTCTCTCTATTCCTTCCCTCTTCTTTATTTTCAATCCTTATCCTCCTCCTTTTCCTTCTTCTCTTATTTTACCTCTCTCTCTCTCCTCAGTGAAGATTACCAGTCCCCATCATAGTTCATTTCACCTGGTGGCTCAACATCTTAACACTACCTCAAGGCTTGAGAAAGGTTGGCTAGCTGGGTTGGGTTGGATAAAAGTTAGTATTTCACTTTCGGGTGAAATAAGCTGGGGCTAAGGTTCATGTGATCCAAAATCTACCAAGAAACCAGAATAAAAATTATCTATTTATCAGCTACACCTCCGCCAAGAACCTTCATCAGTGCCTCCATACTTACTATATATATTCATCCTTCAGGTATTTGTTCCATCCCTGAGTTTATTCTTATCTCCTGGGATCCTACAGAATATATCATTGGTGTAGGTAGTAGGCAGCTACCAAACAGGGAGGTACTACCGCCTGGGAAGATATTGGAAGCATAATGTGTTGTCTAAGGGTAGACCCTGCTGCCATATGGCGTCACGACTTTCTGCCTCATTTACACACAATTGCGGGTCTCAATTGTTTCTCTTGATCTTTTTATTTTTTATTTTTTGTATTTCTTTATTATTTTTATTATTATTATTATGATTATTATTATTATTATTATCATTATCATTATTATTATTATTATTATTATTATTACTACACCCCCCCCAGGCCCTGATGTGCCCGGGTGGACTAATCCCTGTAAAAAAAAAAGAAGTGTTCCTCTTTCCAGTGTGGTCTGTGTATCACTAAGTCATCTTCCCTACAATACTCTCTGACGTAACGTAACATCTCACGTGACAGTCTCTCTCCTGCAGTTACTGTGTGATGTGCCAGACGTACAGTACATCCCTCTCTGACTACAGGCTGGGATTTTCTGTGTTCAGGTACTGCACTGCACGAGTCATAATGGGTGTACGTGTTATTCATATACATTACCTAGACATTGGTGAAGGTTTCTTATGAATATATAAATTAAGGTTAACCAAAACTCTCCATATTAATTTTATTCTCCTTTTGATTTCGCCAAAATGATTTTCATAAGTTGAGACTATCACATTATTTGTACTATTTTTTTATATATATATATATTTTTATTTTATGTCCTTCATTGTCTATAGGCTGAGAATATGTGATTCTCTTAATTTATATGTAAGAACACGTACAGTACATCTGCATAAGATATTTAAGCTACACGACTAAGGTTCGAACCCAGGGACCCACAGCGTGAGAGGTAGCAGTGTTACCCCGAGGCCACCGTGCACTAACAACACTTAGTATATTCGATCAACAGCATTTAAACCAGTCTTAGCAGCAGGTGTGGGAGTGATCGACACCAGGCTTGATAGGACCAACAGATATTACAGTGAAATTGATCGAATAAGGCAATTATTTTGAGAGTACTCGGTGGCCCTGGGGGTGGTACACCTGCCTCTCTCTCTCTGGGGGCACTGGTTCGAACCTTGCTGGTGAAGTATTTATATAATTTGTATTTTATATATAAATGGTGGAAGTTAAGTATAAATTTTGTTATGTATATATATATATATATATATATATATATATATATATATATATATATATATATATATATATATATATATATATATATATATATATATATATATATATATATATATATATATATATATGAGTGTGTGTGTGGTTTTATGTAAATTTGTTTCAGGGAAATCTTTTTCGTGAAGTCGATGTTCGGTGTGATGTTTATATAGTATAACACACACACACATATACACACACACACACACACACACACACATGAATATAACACACGAAAAGACACACATAAATACACACACACACACACACACACACGCACACACACACACACACGCACACACACACACACACACACACACACACACACACACACACACTGACCCTCTCGGCTCTCACTGACCATCACCACGACCTCATCTGCAAATTTGGTGAGAAGCTTCTACAACATCCTCGACACCGGCTCCTACTACCACCTGAGATCCCTCCCCCGAGAATTGCTGTTCGACACCACAACCACATCCAGCCCATACGAGCACGAACTGATCGCTATAAGAACAGCCCAGTCCCAACCATTGAAAAAATTATCAACAACTTGTAATCAACCAGTGTATTCACTCCCTATCAATCTTACTTTTTGCACTGTCACTATGTTGAAATGCCCTGTAGTTTGAGCTTCTCCCCCACCTAGTTATTATATATCATATTTGTATCACTTATGTTACTTGTATATTATTTGTAAATCAAGTGACCCATTGCAGAGAAACAAACAGACAAAGATGAGAGAAGAGAAACACGAGAAAATGAAAGCTAGAGAGAGAGAGAAACGGGACAACGAAGAGAGAACTAGAGAGAGAAACGATAAAACGAAACAATCAAGAGAATAAAGACATTAATAAACAGGAGGAGAATAACAAAAATAAGAAAACTATTAAGGCATTGTCATCAAGGGCTTACGGACTCTGTAAACAAGATCTCTTACTGATCATCACTAACCACAATAGTACACTCTCCAGGTACTAACTCTCCCGTGCCGTTTCCTCACTCTACTGGGCTTATCAGTATCCCCTAATCTAAACTATGCAGATATGTGTAAAGTTAAGTTAAAAACACACAGAAATGGGGTGGGGGGGCTCCTACTGAAATGTGTGTAATGTATGTAATTAATGCTATATAATTTGTGTAACCTGTGTAAAGTAATGCTACTGTAATATATGTAATCTATTTAATCTAACTTATGTAATATAGTTTAACCTAATCCTACTGTAACCCGTGGAATAATAATAATAATAATAATAATAATGATAATAATAATAATAATAATAATAATAATAATAATAATAATAATAATAATAATAATAATAATAATAATAATAATAATAATAATAATATGTGTAATGTGACATATAAAAGGTAAATATGAAAAACTGATAATACAATAGATAATTTATTTTTAACAATATCATTACATAAGAAAACTTAAAATATACATGAAAACTCGTTCATATATTACATACATGGACGTTTATGTTAACTTATAACTTAAGTGTACAGTATATAACATAACATAAGTAGTCACATAGTATAGTACACTGTTAGTCATGTAACTTGGTATTACAAGGTCATAAAATATGGCACTTTAGACTAGCATCGCTCATTGTTGTCAAGGTTCACACAGTCTGAGTCGCTCTGGCTTCCTACAATTACATTATCCGCCAGCGATCCGACAGCTTGTGTTAAACTCTGCACAACTTCATGAATAATTAATAACCATGGTCCGTTCTCCACGCTGTGTCCGTCAGAGTACGCGAGGCTGGACCCGCTCTCTCAGGCGTCCAGGCGAGCCGCAATTATACTGTGATATAACTTTCACGAGTATGTCCATCACCTTCACAACAGAAGCACCATCACTTCACACACGTTCACTGTGAGGATAACACTAAGTCTCACTGGGACATTAACATTATTGCCGTCAATTACACAGTCCGGTGGTGAAGGCCAGAGTGTCTTTCTCTGATGCCAGGAGGATGTCGAAGGGGTCAGATGCAGCCAGATTCGGTATATCATGGAAAACATCAAGGTTATCCTCCAGGAGACCAGAGTCGTCAGAGAGCAACTCCTCAAGGTCACTGGTGCTGCTCACTGACCCTCGCATGGTGGAGGGGGAGCTGGAAACCGACATGGGGTCTGAGAGAGTGTAGTGCCCCACAAACTGAGGAAGCTGAGGAGCGCCCTGCTGAGTGTAGGAGGTCACCGAGTGCTCGTACTGGAAGGTCATGGTGTTCCCTGATGGTGGCATTGTTTTCTGCAGAGGGTGTTGCTGGAGGCTCGGCGACAGGGAGTGATGGAGGCAGCTCTGCAAGGAGTTGTGGATGGAGTTGTGTAAGGAATTCTCGAAAGACGAAAAATCCTGATCGCTGTCATCTTCCAGAACATCTGACAGCGCCCTAATGTACTCGACGGCGAGGCGGAGAGTCATTATCTTGGTGATGGTGGCAGAGGCAGCGTGCACTTCTACAGCGTCTGGGAGAACCTTACGTAAGGATTCGAAGGCGTTATTTATCTCCCTCATGCGATGACGTTCTCGGGCGTTGGCAGTTTTTCTCCGGTACTTCGACAACGGCGCGGGCCTCGATTTGGACTTCGCCGGTCGCTTGGGAACTTCCTGTCGAGTTCTCTCCTGCTGTAGACGCTTGATGATGGTTCTGGGGCGGAGAGCATACTTTTCCTCCCCGTGGCTGTTCCTACTGTTACTACTGCTGCTGTTATTACTGTTGTTGCTGCTGTTGTTGTTAGTATCGGTGGAGGGATTGTCGAAGCCTAGGTCCTCAAGCCCCTCCATCTTGCGGACACTGGCACCCTTGGACGGAGCTCCTGGATCACTTCTTTAGTAGCATCGATGTCACTCTACACAAGACTATGAAGGAGCCATGGAGTGGGGGAGCAGAGAACACCTATTTTTTCTATCACAGGTCACAACTAAAACTTTTCTTGTGTATCTCAGTTCTATGACACACTCCAGACATTACATGAAAGTACTGCGCCTGCGTCCATGTACTTGCTGTATATCCAGTTCAATGCAGTAGTCTAACGAAGCTAGGTAGTCCCGGTGCTATTTACTAGCCTCGAGCAGCGCAAGTAGTCCTCGTTCAACTTACGTCACTGATGATGAAAATATTCTTCCAAATTTGGACTTACTGCACCACGCATCTCAAGTACCATAACAAGGTCTTAACATAGTAAGAAACGTGCACAGTTCTCCCTATACCAGCAACCACAGTGTGAGGACAGTGGCGGGCACACAACACTCTAGTCGTTCACTCAGTGGGCAGCACCGAGTGTGGGTGTGTGGAGCAGCGTGTCAGTGGGTACGTGTGACCACGCTGAGTGCACGGGTATCACTGATATCCAGTTCACCTGCTGCCCGACACATCCCTCCGCTAGTGCCCCGAGCTCTGACGTCACTATTGGCACGATAAAACTTTCACGTCTGCTGACTTTTGTAACGCAAAATCTGCGCTTTTTAAGTGAGCATAAACTGATTTAGACGCAACACTGAACAAAATGAGAACCAAAAATTTTTTAAATTGCGATCAACATGAAGACAATATTGACGTTCACGTGTAATCTGTTTACCTGTAATTCTGGTATGTGGCAACTCTGGTGGCTGCAGGTATCAGGTAGTGGTGGGAAGTTTGGGAACAGCTCAGTGTGGACCGAGCCCTCGAGCAGGAAGGAAGTGGGGCCCCTGTCCTGGGAGTGATTTAGACCAAACTCGGCTTAGAATACTGTTCTTTTATTTTTGGGGGAAACCCTTAAAATATTACATACACACACATGTACACATACAGTACACTGAGTAAGGTAAAAACACATACCCACAGAGTATAAATAAACTCACACACTCATAGATAAACGTGGATAGAGAGAATGTGTGTGTGTGTGTGTGCAAAAATTAACATATGTCATGCAGTACACAAAACTCCTCCTTCTTCAGCGTGTAGAGCCATAGAAGAATGTCAAGTAATAAAGCTATAGTGAATGGAAACAACGGAGGAGTTATCACCTCATACAGACAAATCCAACTGTGAGAATCTTTTTGAGTTGATGATACGTCGGAACCTAAACCAAGAGAACAAAGTGTCTACGGTATGAACCTAACACAGTACTCGGGTTGATATCTATAGGAGCCTTAATAACAGGAGCACTTGTGTTATTTTACAACTATACCTCGCGTTAGTAAGACAACACCGGACATGAAGAACCTACTATATAACGACAGATAAAAAAAAAAAAACTACATTTGTATTCTCTTGAGAGACGTAAAGAGAGGGGCAATATGATCCAGGGTTAAAGGTGGTATAAATATGGTACTCGAACTATCAATTAGGAGCAGACACGTAATGATGGTTTTTATATAAGATAAATTTAGATTTAAGAAGGAAACAAGGAAACATTAATTCGTAAATAAAGTTGTGGATGATTGGAACAAGTTACCAAACATCATCATTAACTGAAACTCGTTAGTAGGTTTCAGATACAAGTTGGACAGATATATGAGTGAACTGCCTAGGTGCAAACATAACGACCTGCCTCAAATGAACCAATAGGGTAGTTTCCTTTACACTTCCTTATGGCTCTAACACACCTCAACACGTATGCGATTAAGCATCTATATACATTATAATCATTTACGATCGTACATTTTCCATACTGTTCTAAAGAAATTAAACTTAGTCCATCTATGTCATAAAAGACTAGTAACATGTTTTTGTTTACTCCTATCGTGTTAATAATAATAATAATAATAATAATAATAATAATAATAATAATAATAATAATAATAATAATAATAATAATAAAAATAATAATAATAATAATAATAATAATGGTATTCCGAGTTATTCTATATAATTATCAAGTTAAAACATCTGCATAATTAAGCTGACACATCTACAAATAAAGCTGACGACATCTACACAGTAAGATGACACAACAAAGATAAATTCACCTCTAAAGCTTAACCCCTTGAGTACAATGACTTAACCCCTTGAGTACAATATCAACCCCTGAGTACAATGCATTAACCCACTGAGTAAGATGTTGTATTCTCTTGAGTACAATGACTTAACCCCTTGAGTACAATGACTTAACCCCTTGAGTACAATATCAACCCCTGAGTACAATGCATTAACCCACTGAGTAAGATGATGTGTTCTCTTGAGTACAATGATTCAATCCCTTGAGTATGATGTTTTAACCCTATGATGACGACGAACAATACACCATGAGTACTATAAAGTTGTACTCTAGGGCTTAAGTCATCGTACTCAAAGAGTTACTAATTCCTCTAAGTGATATAAAACACTCGAGTATTATCCTACACCACGTTAGGTTAGGTTAGGTTAGGTTAGGTTAGGTTAGGTTAGGTTAGGTTAGGTTAAGGTAGGTTGGATTGAGTTGGGTTGGAATTTGGAATTTAGGTTAGGTTAGGTTAGGTTAGGTTAGGTTAGGTTAAGGTAGGTTAGGTTAGGTTAGGTTAGGTTAGGGCTTTTAATCTTCAGGTTAAAAAAATATATGAAGCAAATCTTCAGGGAATCCGAAAAAAAAAATAAGGAATGTAAAAAAAAAATAGCAAATGTTACAATGATATATTTAAACTATTTGTCCTATTAGACGCCCCAGACAGCTATTTTGTCCTCTATATCATAAAATAGAGCAATGTGTACTCTACTTAATCTCCTTTTAACCATTACGTAAGCGAAAATGAAGCCCTATTATAACATTATGTAATTAAGCCAGTATTAAAGTCATTATCATAAATCATAATTACTCTGTTACACATTACCTCTACAGTTACAAAGTCCAGGTAAAATGAACCTTAGTCGCTCCCAGTGGTGAAACAGTCTGGAATGAGTCTCTTAACTAACTCTCTAAACTAACTTATCCTCCTGAACTCGTCTGATTCGGGTGTGCTATTTCATCTCATTTGGGGTCGACGCTGCTTCATTTTGGGAGGAAGCTTTGGACCCCCAGGAGACTACGACACCACGTCACGCCACGGTAGAGTTGAGGTAAAAAAGATATTTTTTCCCCATATAATTCTTAAATATCTCCAGCGTCATATAAGAGAATATACAGTAAGATAGGAGAGAAAACGCTTATTTATATCACGTAAGAGTGAGATTGTGAGGGTGGTATTAGACCAGATTGTACACCAAACTACCAAAATACTCCTCTGTAAATTATTAAGTATAACTCCAACGTGATAGGCAGTAATACTCTATAAATCGATCATGTTACGAGAGACAACATGATCGTCAAAGAACTCGAGGCTTGTTGTTCCCCAAGTGTGGGTCTTGGATTACTTGCTTCTGCAGAGTTGAAATCACCGAAACTCTTCCCTTAGATTTATTAAGAAACGTCACATAATATTTATCCACAATATAAAGACGACAATGTAACATAATTATAACAATATATTAAGACAATATTATATAATGTGGTCATAAATAATGCCTTAAACAGAAGATTATATATCATTTGTATTAATGGAATATTTAACCAACCAATGACTTTGACTTACGCTACATCTAATAACTTGGGAATTCTGGTTAACAAACACAATCCCGAGACACTATCTATAAAGCCTAACTATGCACCGGGATCATCGTATTAAATATAACTTTGACACATTAAACTTAATCATCTTCTGACAATACTGATTAAACTATAAATCCTTTTCACAGTTCCCTTTATTTACCGGAACATTCAGATCATTCTAGGTTGACTGAACGGCGATAAAAAGATAATGACTTAATATAAAAAAAGAAGATAGGAATATCGTTCTCATGTTCATTAAGAAACATATGAGAGAGAGAGAGAGAGATGGACAAGAAAACACATCATATTGCAGTCACCCCTTCATTACCTGACGACGGAACCATTCTCTATTCTAAAGGTACGTAATCATAACCCTTGCAAAGTGAGTCAGTGTGTTTGGCAATTTATGACTGCAAAAACACCTCAGGTTTAAGCCGGGTCACTTAGGTCTGAGAACCAAGTAGATCATATATTTTAACCTGGGATTTTTTTTTCTCATAACAGATCAGAGTGTTGGTAATAATTTATATATGCAAATCAGTATTGGTAAAAATATATTTAATGTTATTTTTATCGTAACTATTGATATGTACTCATCTTTCAGCGGCCATTTATCATTCAAAGTTATATACAATCTGTCCACATTGAAATAAATTAACATTGAAGTTTTTTATTATAAATGTTTATGTATAAATGTAATGTATTATGTATGACCGCAGTGAAGTCATCTACCCCGGTACAACGACGATTCTGTACTCCATTTGGCAAAGGAACCACCGACCCGAAGAGACCTATACGTATGGATAAAGCAATTAGAGGAAACATCATGGTGGAGGAAAGGCCAGAACATCGGAGGAGGATGTTGAACGCATATATCCCGCCTTCCACGAGACACCAAGGAAAGAGCGTAGCACATCATCGGTGGCTCCCATACACCAGATAAAATTCAACCCTACTATGAGCTGTGTA